ACTCGTTTCCTGAATGAAGGACTCGACATCAAGGATGATAAGAAAACAAGGTTTTATCGATGGTATCTGCGTAAGAAGCTTTCTTCAATGGATCCAGGTACATGCTGATATTAAAATAGTTTTTTTGATAGGATTTACTCCAGAAATTCATAATGATGCTTCCTGAATGTGTTGCAGTAGATAACTGAAGATGTTAGTGATGATGATGATAGAGATGGTGATGATGATGGTGATGGTGATGATGATGATGATGGTGATGATGTTTGTAAAAATAATCGAAGAAAATGTTATCGTGTCTAAAGATAACCGAAGGTGGTTAGGATGGAGATGATGATGATGTTGTTGTTGTTGCTGCTGATAAAAAAAAGTTATATATAAAGTTGTTTTGCTGCTGAAAGTAACTGGATCGAAACTGAAAGTAATAATAGCGGTTAAGGATGCTATTGTTGCTGAAATCATCTTAAAATGATAAAGGTAATGGTAGAAGGAAGACAGCAAGACAAATAAAGCACGAAGGAGGCATGCAAACAATTGCGAGTAACTTTGGTTAGTTCCATAAACTCATTGAATGTATTTTCCATTCCCCAGATGACGAAAGCTTCACCTGCTACAAATGTGGCAAGATCTTTGCTTATCAGAATTACTTGGAAAGACACGTCAAGTACGTCTGCCCAGACAAGACAGGAAGAACGTGGAAATGCTCACACTGTAGCAAGGCCTTCCAGTACCCCTGCTACTTAAGAAGGCACATGAGGTCACACACAGGTTAGTTCTCTAAACTCTTTTTTTCCTGATAAAACGGAAAAGTAATGTTTAATTTCGATAGYGTAACGTCACAATGAAMAACCTCAATAGATAAYATMATATRATATAAGCCATTTTTGCTTCGAATCAAGGCGGAGCCGACACGCTTCCTGGATTTAAACTTTTTAATTATAAGGTTAGGATAAAAATTGTTTTTAATAAAAACGAGAACGGGATTCTACGATTTMTTGAAGAGCGAATACAGGGGGTATTTAGATGTGTAGAATAGGATATTGCGCATCACGAACAGAAACAAATTCCTATTTGTTCAAGTACCTTTAAAGTGAAAAACAAAAGCTGAAGAAAACGAATTAAAAGATTTCGTTCGTATTTTCTTTGTTTTGTTTCGTTCTTTTTGTTTTTGTTCCTTTGTTTTGTTGAAATAATATATCTGCCACACACTAAGAGTCTCTAAACTCTAATTTTACAGTCTTGTGTAATAATCTGCTCGAAAAGAGTCGATTTGTGCACTGAAAATCTAACCAAGCATATCTGGTATTTCTTAAACTTTATATTCTYCTCCCAACAGGTGAAAGCCCTTACAAATGTACACAGTGTTCGAGAGCGTTTGTCCGATCAACCGACCTCCAAAGACATTTACGTAATCATACCGGTGAAAAGCCATACAAGTGCAAAGAATGCTCCCGTGCATTTGCGCGCTCGACCGACCTCAAACGACACATGCGCACGCATACCGGCGAGAAGCCCTACAAGTGYTGGCAATGTTCCAAAGCTTTCTCCCAATCAGGAAGCCTGCAGACTCATTTACATACTCATTACAARGAATCCCTACAGATTAAAGGAGTTCTCCCCGAGTGAAGGAAAGGAGATGAAGGTGATCTCGTTCAGAGATAATTATGTTTGCGCGCTTTCAAGGCAGATGCGGGTACCAGTTTGARGGCTCGTTGTTTCATGATGTAACGCTAGACATTCATGGCTAAAAAWGATAAATTAACCGGATAAAAAGATTTACCAAAATCTCGCGGATCCAACAAAGAAAAAAAAAAACGGTTATGAAATCATGTATTTAAGTAAATACGCACTAATTTAAGAGGACRACGCAGCAAAAAATATTTTTCGGTCGCGATCGGTTTACCAAAAAATTCCGATCATCGTCGAATATGATTTCCTTTTCCCCGCCTCGTGATAAGGATAGCTCAAGTCCAAGATCTATTTATATATATATATATATAGTTCTTGCAATGCTTGCTGATGCTTTGCTGCTAAAATTTAATCACGTAAGCTTTCAAAAGAAAAAGAACAACAGAACATCCGGTTCCGAGAAACTTAAAGCCACGTTGTTCATACAACGTTAATTTAACTTAAAGCTGTCGCGGGCTACAGCATTCTTCGACGAATTTTAAAAGGAGTGCTTCACCTACAAAAATGAAAATTTTTCCTTAAAGTGCCTTGCGATACAAAGCAAATGAGCAGGATTTTTCTAATTTAAAAATTTTAACTTTGCGAACCGGGTTAAAAGTAAAAAGTGTAAATTTATTATATTTATTACAATTATTTTTATCTGTAATGTGTATATATTAGCATGTTTTTATTTTCGCTTAGTGGATTTTCATTTATTTGTTGCAAGAGCATTGGTTTTGCAATGATGCTCAATCGTTAGTCGCGGTTATTAGTAATAGACCTCGTTAGCTTGGGCGTAGTGTTTTCCAATTCCAGACCACTTGTTATCCCCTTGAGAATAACATTCCTTGTTTGAGCTACATCCATAGACCAAATTCAAAACTTGCACCGATGTGAGGCTTAAGTTGTGAACAAAGAGTTCTGGCGTGACTCAAAGTAATCTGGCTTGATTCAAAAGTCACGAATCACGCCAGATTCCTTTGTTCACAACTTAAGCCTCACATCGGTGCGAGTTTTGAATTATAGCCATTCCGAAGTTGATGAAATAATTGGGTCATGTTGGCATCGCAGTGCATTGCGGGACTGTTAAAGGCACATATTTCCAAGATGTCGGAATATTTGGTCTTGAGAGAGAAAACACTATATACAAGCTACTGAATGGGTCTATTGCTCTAATAGAAAAAAATAACAYAAAAAGAATAGAAATGTTATGATTACTCGTAGAGTAGAATTATTAATTAATAATAGCGAAACTGTATCAGTTTATTATKTGATTTCAATATCAATTTCATTATTATTATTATTGCTATTTTTGTAATTCAATAGAAGGTAAACATATTTTTAAAATAGGGCAAAGCATTCGTAGCTTCCTGTATTTCTTAGTGCGCATGCTCAGGTTGCATCATCGTTACCTCGAGCCCACGATCTTTTTGGTCAGCGTCAAAGAACCCAGAGCCCTGGGAGAATTAGGAAAGAGAATCAGCTTTTTTGGCCTGTTCTGGTTTCATTTTTTGGCGGCTTTCTATTGTGGCATTAGCCTTTTAAAAAATAGTGCCAATTGAGTGGCGCGTAAGCCCAGCCCTTTGCTTCTTGGCGGTGACCAGAAGGAACGAGAGCTCTGTGAACGAGAATGGTCCAGCTTCCAATTTTCCAAACATGCGCAGTAAGGACAACCTGTACTCCACTGACCAGAAGAAACACGGGATCTCTGGACGAGGTTTCGATCTTTTTCAATACGAATACTCCTTTCATACCCACACRAATATTTATACATAGAGCGACTTTAGAGTTCTTACGTCCTTATCACGTGACTAGTCATCACGTGACATCTGTCGAAGACGTTATATTTGACGCTAAATGGATTGAAAAAAGTTTTATCGTAGCTAAAATGAGTAGTTGCTATATTTAGGCATTAGACTTTATTAATAATTATATTTAGTCAYATATCTCTCGATGTAAATACGCAAGTATAGTTAGGATCGGGCTAATATCTATATCATATCATATTTATAAATCTGCACTAAGAGAAAAATCTGTACCCATATTTGGTAGTGATCATGTGACCCGGCTATATCGGCGAGCTGTCACGTGATCGCTCAAATATTTTTTCAGTATTGTTTTATTTATTTTTTGTTTATTTATTTGGAAATCAGTAATATTTACATCAAAACGGTTTTACTCTARAAATATTAAATCAGTTTACAATGAGAAATCCTTTCAACAAACAACCAATTATCTTCCAAGATTTAAGATTCATCTTAAAATCATAGATGCTGGCAGGAAAATACGAAAGAAAATGCAGCTTTTTAATATTGGGAAACGACGAGATTTCTCGTGTATTCCAGTTCGTCTTGCATCCAAGATCGGTTTAAAAGGGATCTTTTGTGATCTCGTGGTCGGATCGACCGATAGTCGGATAGTTAAGGTAGTCGATTGAAAGGGTTTTACTATTCTTATATATACACCTAATTGAAAGAACGCTGTCATAAAAATAAAAAATAAAAAATAGGAATTAATTAGAAATAATTTTTAATAATTTGATTCTTAAGCTCCCTAGCTTGACGAAAATAACTGTTTTAGTAAATACCAATAGGGTAATATCAAAAATGTCAGTCTATACCTTCAAAACAGTGAAATAGTGACGCGTATTTATTTTGTTATTTTTTATTCTTATATGACTACGTTCCTGCAATTAGGTGTAAATAATCTGTGGTTTTTACTCCGATATTTAAGGCGATATTCAACCCCTAATGTTATTATTATATTACTATTAATCTATCGATATTATCATTATTTATTATTATTACTATGCTAATCGAACCTATTCAGAGCTGGCCTCTATGTATCTAATAAAAATTGTTAACTCAAAAACAGTTGCAGATTTAAAAAAATTTTTTTTTTTTTTTTTGATATTTGGAATTAAAAACTGCTGATTTGAAAGCATTGCTATTATTTATGATTGGCGCGGGCATTTTGAAGGACACAACGAARGCCGTGTCCTCCATCATGGCGTCGAAGATGAAAAACCGATAAAAATAAGATAATTATTTTGTTGAGAATTGCACTCGAATTATGGTTCATTGTTCAAAACTAATTAAATTAATTCGTCTCAAACTCTCTTCTCAAGTTCCTAACGAAGAGGACTGGTTCCCAATGTGCTTGAAAATATTCCYACATATTCGATCAGCGTAAGTAGCTGTGTCCCCCCTCCAGGTTGGGAACTTATGTAACAGCCAATCACATGGTAAATCACTGTAAAAAATCCTTGACATCCTCGCAAAATAATCCAGCTCTTCRTTCTTAAATAGCTTTCCAATAAAGCCCCAGATCGACATCTGAATGAACGCCCATTCCTCGTCTTTAAACGAGTTWATGCAACGATTAACACTAGGCATGAAGTCCCCGGCTATCGTAACATCGTCTTCCATATGCATGTAGTAATCCGACAAACCATCGCAGTAGTTGAACAAAAATACRTTATCCATTGTCTGTTTAGAACGCCAGTACATTCGTTCTTCTGAATCTCCGAACGTCCTCTCCAATCCTTTCAACTTTGGGTAGAATTCTCTCGGTGCTTGTATAACGTTTATCAAATTGTTATCAATGAACTTTTTGTACTTGTCCAATATTTTTGTTCTTATGTTTTCCCGCGCTTTTTTATCCACGTCGGCTAAAAATATCACAATGTGTACTTGAGTCATGTCTTGGGGGGAGAGTTTGCCAATCAGTGAGTCTAGTGTTTGATCGAGGTAAGAAACGGTCTTGTTCTTGTAAGTTCGTTGGATTGTCGGTAACCCGATTGTCAAGAAAACTGAAAGAAAGATACCGGCCTCAGATGACGTTTAGCCCAGCACTGATACATTGATCAAAATCCCAGATCGTGTGACGAAATGTGTTACGTACGTGTCACGTCACGCAACCAATCCAAATCCCCACAGTACATTAAAAAAATGAATAAAGTCTCTTCTTCATTTAACACTTTTGATTTTCACTGGATTTTACACCTATTTAGAGCGATGTTAAGTAACGCATTTTTGTTTTGTTTTGAAATATCAGAAAATGGGATAGACGAGTTTTAGCCAATAAACAGCTCAGTTTAAATATTATATAATAATAATAAACTTTTTTACTTTGCGCGCAAAGTTTTACAATTTCAGACCACGTGTCATTCCCTGGAGTATTACTTATTTGTTTAACGGGAGTTGCGCGCGAGAAGATACACGAACATATAGACTGTACACAACTTAAACAAAAAAATCTTACTCTCAAAAGTGCAACACGTCATAGACAGGTCTGAAATGGGAAAGATTTGCGCCCAAGGTAAAATAATCTATTGTCTATTGTCTTATATAACAGAAAAAAATCTAAAAAATTGACATCAATGATGCTATGATGCATTTGAGGAGAGACGAGGGGTCGAAACTCAAAATMCCCTCGAGCAACCCCTCACTGCGAGGAAATCCTGAATGCAAACACTGCGCAAGATAAAGTTTACGATTAAATACCTTTSTCCTTCAAGCCTGTTCCCAATACTCTCACATCGTCTTTGTATATTGTCTTGTGATTCTTTACTGAACACCCTAACACAGCCCTYGATGTTTCGTTGTTACACCGTGACTTCGTCTGATCCAAACTGTGACTGTCCTCTGAGTCATTTGAACTACACATTCCAGTATTATCTGAAACAATAGA